CTCCCAAACACTCTATGTCAGGCCACAGTAAGAAGAAACACTTACTAATGTTTTCCATAAAAGAAAAGAGAGTCAGTTGGTATAATGGTTAGATATTAGGTTAGAAATTGGGACACTGTGAGTTCCAGTTCTGTATAAAGCCAGCTGGTTTATCTTAGGCCAGTCACTCTCTCACACTTCTGGAAAGAACACAAGGGCAAACTGCTTCTGAAATTTTGCCAAGAAAACTATAGGAATTTGTCCAGGCAGTCACCAGGAGTCAGTACTAATTTGAAAGCAAAAAAGAAGGAAGGAAGGAAGGAAGGAAGGAAGGAAGGAAGGAAGGAAGGAAGGAAGGAAGGAAGGAAGGAAGGAAGGAAGCTTAGATAGCACCAAACTTCAAGCCTTTGTGGCCATCTGGTGGTTCTCCAGAATTAAACCTGGAGAAAGTGTCAGAATATTTTGCATGTTAAAAAAAAATACATATCTTCTGGCTAAGGGGACAGGGTATGATAAGTTCAAGTATCAAACAAAGCCACTGTTTGTTAAATAAGCCACAGAGAGTTATCTTGATCATAATGCTAAACCAAAGCAAAACAAAGTACATTAAGAGTTAGTGTCAGTGGTGCGATTCAGCCAATTCGCACCACTTTGGCAGGACCGGTACTAATTTTTTTGTTGCACAGGCCCAGAATGGACTTCCAGAAGCAGCAATCCAAGCAGAGAACCGGCTGTTCACATATCTGAATCCCACCACTGGTTAGTGTGTTATGTGAAAGTAAGCAAGGGCTGACTTCATGAACTGCATTAAACCATAGTTCGTTTAATCATAATAAGTACATAAACATAACTGATTCACATGGCATTATGCCACAAACCACTGTTTACAAACCACAGTCTCTTTATTCATATAGCACACAAACAAAATCAAAGAAACCACAATATTATTTAAAATGAAATGTGTAAATTGCTAAGACAATTTTTAAAAATATCCCTCACAAATTGATTGAACTAATTCTAATCTTCCTTCCTTCCTTCCTTCCTTCCTTCCTTCCTTCCTTCCTTCCTTCCTTCCTTCCTTCCTTCCTTCCTTCCTTCCTTCCTTCCTTCCTTCCTTCCTTGAATACTGCATTGTTCTCAGCAAACAAAGGGTGGAGCTGTTGCTTTGAGAATTGATCATGATTCTGTATTTGGCAAGTGAAAGTGAAGATAGGACTGAACATTGTAAATGTTTCTTTGTTTTAATGTGTATGGGGCAGGGATTGCCCAGGAACACTGCATGGTGTTCATACTTTCTGTCAGGGTACAATCTAGTGAGAGGTCTCTCTGTAAATCCTATTAAATAATGAAAGAAGGACAAGAATATAAGGGTGCAGTTGTCACACTGCTATTAATCCAAAGGGTGATTATGCTAGAGGACTTCCCACTGCATTGTGTGCTAGAGGATTAATTATGTGCTCTCTAAGAGATACTATGGTAAAACACTGAAAACATTCCCAAGTTGACTTGCCAGAAAAAAAAAATCATTTTGTCATTTTGACTGTTTCAGAAGCACCCCAAAGTGTTTTGTAAAGAACTGTTACATAAGAAAGAAAAGTATTGATAAATATTGATACTTAACACCTATAACATGGACTGATGTACTCATTTAGTGTGAAAGAAGCCCCTCTTGATTATTTGCAAATGTATTCAGGATGAGAGCCTTGCAGTTAAGTGTACCTATGTGTACTGAGAAATAACTCCCATTGAGCTCAGTGGAAGGCACTTCCAAATACATGTGCATAGGGCTACAACCTGAGTGTGCACAGATTCTGATCTTTATGCAAATTATAATGTGTGAAATTACTTGTTGAAATACTTTCGAACTTTGGCATGTTCTTTAGCATTACAAGTAACAGAAACCATGAGCCAGATCTGAAATATTCACAAGAATCCTCTGGAAACAATAAGTAGAAATCACATATAAATCAATCTTGCATTGTATTATACCAAAGGTGTAAGCTATTGCTCACTGATTGAAATCAAAGGACTTTCCTTATACACCCAACTGAAACATGATAAACTCCAAAGATGAGCACAAGTCTTGCCATATTGTGGCAGCCTATTCATGCAGGGTGGTGAATTTTTGTACCAATCCAAGGCCAGGATGTTAATATGAAAACATATCCCAAGGCTACAGCACAGGGAACTCTTACCTTGCTGGCTTCCTTGGAGGGAGGGAATATTGTATTGAACCTGTAGGACAGTGGTTCTCAACCTGTGGGTCTGGACCCCATTTGGGGTCAAATGACCATTTCACGGGGGTCGCCAAACAAGGCTGTCCGCCATTTTTTTTCCCTTTTCTTTGGCCACGCCCCTGGCACCCGGTGATGTATAAGTGGTTTGGGGTCACCATAACATGGGGAATTGTATTATGGGGTCGCGGCATTAGAAAGGTTGAGAACCACTGCTGTAGGAGAATATTGAACCTGTAGGAGATGAGCAGGCTAAGCTGGAAGGTAGGTTAAAAGTATCATCAGTTTGGAATCATTGTGCAACCACGAGAGACTCAAATCCAGCCCCCGTGAATTCCATTGACTCATATCTAATGCCAATTTAGCTTTGACCAGTAATTGACCAGATTCTTGTGTCTAGGTAGTAATAATAAAAACTTTTTCAATGCTTTGAACTCAATGAGTATTCCTGGTTTTTTTTGCAGCTGACAGAACCCAGCTCACCGGTGAATGTGAATTTAATATATTGTGCAAATCCAGAAAATGGATTAATTTAGTAACAAGATGGAGAATGTGAACATAGCCAGTGTCTCTATACTATCCTTCTCTAGTGTTGTGCTTTTTAGGCGTACTGTATTGTACGATCACTGCCATAACAATAGCCACTCAACTGATCTTTATTTTGAGCACTAAAACCTTCTCAAACAATGGTCATGGTACTTTGTGTAAATTCTGGAATGAAAGCTATATTCTCACTAGAACAATTATCATTTTGCACTACAAGAATGGAATGAAATCATTCGATTATGTGGAATAATAGAGTCTCTTGACAATAAGATAGATGGTATATAAATTTAATAAATAGCATAAAGAACTCAGGTCAGGAATATTGTGGGTGACATGTACATCTTTTTTATACTGAGGACTGTAATCAGTGAGCTCATATATTGCACTAACCCAGCGGCCCCCAACCTTTTGGGCACCAGGACCGGTTCCATGGAGAAAGGTTTTTCTATGGACCGGGGAGTAATGTTTTTGTGTGCTGCCTTCATCCCACGGATGGAGCTTCACTTGTTTGCATGGACCAGTTGCGGGCATGCCGTGGACTAGTGCCAGTCCACAAAACGATTAGTGTAAATCTAGTTCTATCTGCTTTGCAAGAAATTATTCATGAAAAAACTTAAGGAGAAATAGACTTGGTTAGGACTTAGCAGAAACTCACAAAGAAATATTAAGGGTTAGAAAACTTATAAACTAAACCACCACAACAGAAAATGCTGGAAGGCAACGGCCAAGTGTTTGCATATTTTTACTAAGAAAATTCATGAATCTGTCTGTGAAATCACCAGAAGTTGAATTTGACTCAAAGGAGACTTTATCACAGGATGTTTCAGGATGATGCTAAGAACAGCTGTAGCAACACTGATTGTATTTTCATTCTTTTCATTCCCTGGCCATTCTGAGTCTGAAATATAAGAACTGAAGTGGGATTTTTGTAATGGCCTACAGAGGCATGTCAGTAGCCAAAATATTTTGCACTTGAGCAATTGTCCATTTGTGGGGCTGCTTCAGGGTGCTTGCACTTACCTTTAAATCCTTCACAGCTTGCTATTGGAACACATGAAAGGCTGCCTGTTCCAGGAAGGGTGAATGTGGCATTCCAGATGTTGCGAATAATAGCTCCCATCAGCCCTATGAGGGTGATTGATGAAGGATGCCCGGAGTTGTAATTCAGTAATACTGGAGGGTCACAAGTTCTCCTTCCTTAACCTCTCACCTTGTGGGTCTACTCTTCAGTCAGATCATTCCTGATGGGAAGCCTCAATGCTGGCATGCATAGGCATGTGTTCTGAGGAAGTACAGTAATGTATCCTGTTGCTGTTTTAGTTGTTTGGTAATTGTGTGACTGCAGGAATTACATAAGGTACTCTGGGCAATTGTGTTTTGTTTGTTTTTTAATGCAAAAGATAACCCCCCCTCAAAGTTCAAACAAACTTGTAGTTGTCTTGAGCTAGGCTTGTGGCATTCTAGTGGCTCTGTGATGAAATTCAGACAACCCAAAAACAGATCATTCTGACTAAATCTCACTTTGCTTTTTATTGCCTAATTAGGTTGATCATATATATTTCGAGACTTATTCTTCTTTAATGTTGGTCTTCTTGTTTCTGCCTTCATTCCCTCCAGATCTATCAAGAAAGACCTGAAAGTATCAAGTGCCAAGACACTAGTTTCTGCTCTAAATGAAATGTGGTTGGGCCTCTTGATTCTCTTTTTTCCAAGTTCTTTTACTAGCTGACAAAAACAGAGGGTATCCTTTTCCTCTCCATCTCCATTCTATTGAAGTAGACTTAGGCAGGGTTCACTTTGATCATCAGAAAGTTCTGTTTGGGCTTCTCTCAGTTAGATTCTATCTAACTTGTGTGAATTCTCCAAATTCTACTACCATGTTTCCCCGAAAATAAGACCGGGTCTTTTTTTTTTTTTTTTTTTGCCTTCAAAAGAGGTACCGAGTCTTATTTTCAGGGAAGACCTTACCTCACCTCTGGCACTGACAGCCCCACCCAGCCAGTCCACTTCTTCTGGGGCTGAAGTTCTGCAGCTGCATTCGGGTCTGCAATTTGCAGTCAGGCTTTTCCAGAAGGCCTAAGCAGCTGAGTACCAAGCTATGGATTCAATCCATAGCTCGGTCCTCAGCTGCAGAGGTCTTGCAGAACCGAGCTACAGATTGAATCCGTAGCTTAATTCTTGGCTGCACAGGCCTTCCAGAAAGCCCTGTGACTGAGAAATGCAGATCTGGCTGCAGAAGAGGCCTCAGAAGAAGTGGGCTGGCAAGGAGAGGCCTCTGTAAGTGGGTGCGGGGTGTGTGGGGCAGCTCCACCCCCCGCCCCCACCCTAGCTTGATTTTTAGGTTGTACCTCGACCCAAAACTAGGGCTTATTTTGGGGACAGGGTTTATATTAGACCCACCCCCCAAAATCAAGCTAGGGCTTATTTTTGATGTAGGCCTTACTTTCGGAGAAACACGGTATCTACAGAGATTGTGGTACTCCATGGGAATTCCTAATGCTACACCAAAAATATGCTAATGTATTTTTGAATAATTACTGTGTGATTTCAGCTGATATCCAATGTCCTTTACTATAGACAGAACAAAAAAAATGCAGAATTAGAGACTAGTTTTCTAACACCTATATCATTAGATTCCTTTAGGGCATACAGAGATATTCATATGGGTAAGTATTTCATGAGACAAGTTTTGTCCAAATAATTGTCAGGATTTATTTGGGTGCATTTTAAGCTACTGAATTGCACACCACAATTTTTTTATAAAAATTCAACTAGCTGAATCTATTGAACGTTTTTCTTTTTCATGATTTGATATCCATAGCATGTTAGGACTATCGTTGGTTACCTATTATGTGGCATTCAGAGGGGAAAAAGGGCAATCAAATGGCAAAATGTATGTAATGATGTCATCACCCAAATGTTTGGACACAGGTACATAATTGCTACAAACGGTGTTACTCCACTCATGTCATTTTGGCATCTTCATTTTGCTGCAGGTCTGTCAGTCCTACCAAATAGTGTAAATCTAACCCACTTTTATTAGAACAACTGTAGAGAATCTTGCATATTCTCTTCATGAAAAGAAGAGAATTATTTTCTAGGCTTGGTTTCAAGGTTCATGTGTGTGACTGTTGCCTCGATAACAGATCTTCCCTTTGTTTTTCTTTAACCCCTAGAAAATACTGCTGGTCTGTCATCAAATAAAAACTTAGCTCCTGTATGTGGGCTGAAAAAGTGGATGATCGGTAGGTGGCAGCCAAGAGTAGGAGTTTTTTATTATCTCATTGCTGTTATTTTGTGATCATTGAAATTTTTGCAGCCCTGATAAAACAGCCTTATCTATATGCTTTATTTCTTTTTTTTTTTTAAAGGATGCGTGGGATATCGCGGAAAGTTCCTGGGAGACTTATGAAATGTATACCATGAGTTACGGAAGCGTGCCTAATTAGTTCTGACAGAATAACTTTCCCGTAGCATGCCTAGGGTATCCCCTCAAGAAATAATTGATTTCAAGACCAGCATCCCTGAGTGAGTGTCTGCAGAAGGTATTTGTCTCTCCACCCCTGCAATCTTTAAAAAGAAATCTGTGTCTGTGTACATGTGCACAAAAATCATAATAAAAGACATACTGACTCTAGCTCTGAGAGATAGAAATTTAGATTTCTGTTTAGCAGCAAAGTTTGCATCAGCAAAACCAATACCTCTCAGTTTAATCTAACCAATTAAGATAAGTTGGGTGGGGGATTGTTTTTTTTTTTAATTATTCAAAGGACTGTAGAGAATCTATGTAAGAGATAAAAGCAAATTATTGCTCATTTGTAGATAGTGGTTAAAAGATTAAGATGTAAGGCAGACTGCCAGATTACCAATGGCACACATAGAGTCAGGGAGTGTATGTGGGAACCAGGGAACTTAAGCAATGGGAAATCAAAATGGTAGGTATATGGAATCCAGTGCTTTGTTTTGAAGGTTGCCAGCCTGCTGGAAAAAAAAGACAAGAGTAAGCAGCTATAATAGAAAACATTTCACAGAGGTTAGGAGTGTGGAGGGACCAACTTCAGCAAATTTTTTTTGTAAATGGCATTTTGTGACTGGCCATATTTTCCATACTAGCTGGTTTGTGAAAATACTTGGAATGTTTTCTCAGAATATCACATCTGCTCATTGGCTCCAAAGGAGGGAGAGCTCTCTCTGACCATTTTACCCCTAAAGCAACAGCTCTGTGAGATGTGTTGCAGGAAGAGGCAGAAAGGCATTAGCCCAAAACGACCAATGAATTTTGGTAGCTGAAGATGGATTTGAACCTGGAACTCCCCAGTCCTAGTCCAACATCTTAAAATACTGACAATGTACCACACTGGCATTCAGTTATGCTGCAGACAAGTCATGGGCAGAAATATCTTCAGTTCAGTGTGAAATCCTAATTCGTGAGGTCTTACTGTTACATAATCCTTCATCTCTAAATCTTAGGCTCTGGTTAAGCTTCTAACAAAGGATCTAATGGAAGGTCAAGGAATGTTTTTGGCTGGCAGCCAATACTGCACTACTTTACATGAAGTCATGAGTACTAAAAAAAAAAAAATACACTACCCATCCATTCAAAATTATTGTCTTTATTAAAATTGTGTGATTTGGCTGTATTACAAATTTTAAACAATCTTTAAACTAAGTAAATGGGCATGAATTACACAACATATTTGATCCTCAGTTTACTGAATCAGCAGTAGAAGTTTCTGTTCCACTTATCTCAAAACCATGCCCAAATCATGTAGATCCTGTTAACTATTTTTGGATGGAACCTTGTAGGATAGGCAAGGTGGGTTGTATGACGGCACCTTTTTTTTTTACTATATATATATATACCAAGATTGTTCCTTAGATGAAGGAAAATTATAGTAGCTAAGACATCTTTGAGGGAGACGGGAGGTTTAGAAATATGAAATATAAATAAATAAATAATATGCTTCATTTTGTTTAGCATGGTGTGTGAATTCAGTCATTGTGGCTTGTAAATCATAAACCTGATTTATGGTTTACCATATTATATGAACCAGGTCAATTGTGGTTTAACATAGTCAACTGAAGTGTGACTTAGTACAATCTGTCAGATGGATTTAGTACTGTAAAACCTATGACTAGTTTCCTGTGGACATAGGAGGTTGCCTCTTGCAGGATTATTGAAATATTAGACTTTTTCCATAAAAGAGTAACTTTAGGGAAGTAACTCAAAGTCCAATGTTCCAATAATCCTAGAAAATACAAATATTATTTAGCACCAAAGGACAACCATGAAATGTTGCACTTGCAAACTGATTTCCGAGGAAGAGTAACAGAATCCAAGAATCTCTGCCTACATATGTGGTTGTCTATCCATGGTGATAAAATGTGGAGAGGCAGTTCTCCCAATTTGCCTAGGGAGAGTCATCTGAAAAGGGATCTACACTTACCATCAATCTCCCCCTACATGAAGTGTCTCTGTTTAATGGCTGATAGAATATCTCAAAAGGGTCTTCCTTTCCTTTTGTCTTTGTTTAAAATGAAATATAATGGACTTGGACTTATCAGCGTCTCTAAATGCATTTTCTCTATGTTATCCTTACTAAGGGGATTTGGTATATCCTGATGAATATGTGCAAAATTGATTCTGAGCTTGGCATAATTTGATCCATCAATTTAACATTAAATTAATATGCAGAGAGGTCTCTTTTCCGTTTTAAGCAAACTAGAAGGGAAATGCTTATTAATTTAAAATGGTCTTGAGAAATGGAACGAGGCTGCTCCTATTAGTATCTGCCATGGAACTCAACCAATGCATTGAGAAAGGTAGGTATAAAACAGATTTGTAGTTAAGGAGAAAAGAGGGATCTTGACTGTCTCCAAGTATCAAGGAAGAATGTAAAACCTTCCCAGGAATTCAGAAAATTACTGAGACAGCCTTCCAAAAACTATAGTGCTGCATTGCCTGGACTTGAACCAAAACTAGAAAACTCTGTTGAATTGCTATTCACTTGCTTAGTTCACTCTAATTGGAATCTTCTTACCATAGCTAAGCTATTTGGAGCTTTTTTTTTTTAATGACATTGAAAAAAGTACACAGGATATTAAAGCAGAGAGGAATTTCCTTGAAACTTTGCCTTATTAAACTTTTGTGCCAAATCATATAATCCCTTGGCTGTTTTCTGTTTTCTGTATCTGGATACTGATGTTCTATTCAGCACACTATGACACTTCATTAGCAGTACTAAAACAAGAAGATAGGCTCTTTCCTCAAGAAATTTGGAGCTTAAATTTTGAGATAAGTGAGAGTAAGAAACATAAAAGAAGCAGGATTAATAGTTGGATGGGATAGGCATGATAAACAAAATTAACAAGAATCAATCTCTGTGTAATATATCGTATACTTTGTTCTAACTGGAACTTGCTTAAGATTTTTACAGAAATATATTTTACTGCTGAAGCTATATGTGGAATAAATATTGGCAACTAATATTGTTAATGTTCATAAACTGGGAATGAACTTTTGCTCTGTGTAAATATTTTTGATCCACACTTATTATACAGGGAAACTAAATTTCTTGATATTTTCTATTATAATTGACTCTCCTTTTCTCAGTGGTTGTCTGTTATTCGTCAAGATCTTTCTGGCCATAGTACGTAGAAGACAGGAGAGGAAGACACATTTTAGGTGATAACAATGCAATTGTAACTGATGGAAATTATCTGTAGCTCGGGTGTAGGATGAGGATGATGGAGATTTTTTTAATTTAGAAGAAACTGATTATAAAAAGAAGTGACAAAGCCTTTTTGGAAAATGAGGCAAATAAACATATTCTATGCTAGTTAACTTAAAGAGTCTATTTGCATTATAGTTTTAAAACTTTTTTCTTCACAGCTTGATATTTCTGAAGCCCTTTCTTACTGCTGTTTAAAATGGCATCCATCTCATTCTTTGGTAATAAATAAAGCTGCTGCCCTACATTGGATATTTAGATTGTGACTACCATTTTGTGTTCATAGCACTTTGCTGACCAAAATTAACAAAGATCTAATAAGATCTTTGCTCCCAGTTCTGAACAACTCATTCCTGCAGGATTTAGCATAAAACTATATCGTATCCGGCTTGTCCAGATAGAAGCTGCCCCTTGATCACATAGAATCCATGTTGATCTCCATAATCCACATGGAGTACTTTTAGAAGCTAGAAGTCAATAAGAAGCTTGAGGGCCCCTACATGCAGCCTGCTATGTTGTTTAATTTTCCAACTCCAAAACCAAATTTGGGAAACCCCAACAAAATAATCCTTAGCTACACATATTTGCTACAATCCCCTATTTTTATATTTTATAAAATAAAAATAAATGCTTGATATCTGATGAGAAAACCTTGCCAGAATTCTGAATTTTCTCATGAGAACACAGAACAATTTGGCTGTTTTAAATTTTGTAAATGCTTTAAAATTTTTCTTTAAATGGCAGTCACAGCCTTGCATGACACTGTGTGATGGTGCCTGCTATGTCAGATGGTAAGTCACCTATGGAATGTTTTATCACAATACTTCTGGAATCATAAGAAATGAACTGTGGAATTCAGATATTGGAAGAGAAGAAGCAAGGAATAAATTCTAGGAGAAGTGTACTTTAGAGACCTTGTTCTTTCATTCTTCCTATTTTACTTTCCCTTTTGGGATAAACTATGTTCTTATCAGGACATTTATCTGCATTTAGTCTTTGAAGAGAATGATCATACTGAACTCTAAAGAGGGTTTTTGACACTAAATGGGTCTTTTGCTACCTCTGCAGGTATTATTGTATGTGCAGGCAATTACATGAAAGATAACTTCTCCCCACTTTATTCCCTTCCCTTTCCTAATAATCTGTATTTTAATTAAAAACAGCAATTTACAGTGCAGTTCATTTATAACAACATAATCCATGGTAATCACAACGCAATAAATTTATGTTTTAAGTAAAATTTTAATGCTTCGAGCAGCTGGGTCTCTGAAGTGTGGAAATAGCTAACATTTTTCATTTGGTATGATGCATCCTATAGCCAGCACTACGGTTTAATTACAGAGACACCACAACCAAGGGATGGAGAATTGAGTTATTGTAATAGTAAAATGAGAAATGATTTCTCTGCAACTAGCTGTAAATCTGGAAAATATCTAAATAATATACCGGTAGACGGATAAATTTCTAATGAGCAAGAGAAAAACACATTGGTTCATCAACCACATGCCTTCAAAAATGGAAAATGCTGAATCAGGTACGTAGTAGCTGGGATGAATTTCACCAAAAATAACATATCACTGTCTCTCAAGGTAATGCAGCTAAGAATTCTGTTGGCTTGTGCTTATTCAGCTTAAGAAAAATCACAACCTTATTTCAGCTGATTTCCTCATATCTGAGGGAAAAAACAACAGTTCCTTGCTTGAATCAAACAACTACTGTTGTTTCCTTGTTCCAAAGAGCTTTTCTCAATTAGGAAGCTTCGTATGCAGTATGTTGGTCTACAACTTCTATCATATCCAGCCAATATGGACATACTAACTGGCA